GCCCGGCGTGAGTTTTAAGCCACCGGGTCCGGGACACGAACCGCGGTCGACTATGTAGGAGTCCAGCGACATAGCCATTACGCTAACTGTTGGCTCCCTCTGACTGCCTCTTTTAGCCCAAGTATTCACTCCTGGGGCCTCAGTTTCTTCATCTATAAAATGGAACCAGTGAGAGTGGTTTTGAAAATAAATGAGATGACAGCAGGTGCTTAGAATATTCCCAGTGTATAGTTAGTTCATGTGAACTAGACCCGGACAGCAACAGGGAGCCCCTGGGAGGAGGGGCTGCACATCTCAATGTCTCATATCCAGCCTCTGCACCCAGTGGGCCCTGCTTCCCCTCCCACTAAAGGGGAACTTGGAGTGAGGGACAAAATCTGACTCAGGCACCAGCCTGCCACGAACAGGAACAGTGCCCTCTTCCCAGCATCCTTATCCAGGGCCCAGAAAGCCTGCCTCACCCCAGACATCCTGCCCCTGCTCTTCGTTAACATCAATTCATTTACTCTTAAATCAGTCCTGTGAGGTGGCCTCCATCAGCCCATTTTAGAGATGGGAAACTGAAGCCACAAAGGGCGAAGGCTGTACAGCAAAACAGAGGGGGAGCTGAGATTTGAACCCAGGGTCTGGCTCCAAACCCTGTGCCTTTAACCACTATACCACACTGCCTCCTGAGCCCCAGGTACCCTCCCAGCACCTCCCAAGATCCTGAGTCTCATTCCCACAGCTTCTCAGTCCAGCCAGGGAGGGGACTGACTGGCTGATCCCTTACCCTTACCGCCGAGCTTCCAGACACCTCAAGAGCTCCAGGGTCAGTCTGCTTGGCCCCAGCCCTAGGCTGGGGGGAAAAGGAATGGGGAGGAGGAAGAGAGGGAGACCCCAGCCATTGGCTACTGAGGCGTGACGTCACCAGAGGGTGGGTTGTGGGGAAACAAACATCCCCCTCTTCCAGCTACTGCCATCTGCAAGGGGTGGGGACCCAGTGAGACAACAGCCTTTCTCTGGCCTGGGCTGAGTCCTCCGCTGTGAGCCCCCCTTCGGTGATTTTCACTTTACAACATACACTTGAAGACTCAGCACCCCACTTCACGCCCGCTAACTCCTGGATCCTAGTCCCCAGAGTGGTCCAACTGTTCGCGGGGCCTCTGAGAGATAAAGCCCTTCCACTCCCTCATTCTGTCAATCTGACTTCAAGTCCCTGCTCAGCCACTTCCCAGCAGTGACCTTTGGCAAGTCCCAGCTTCCATCTGGGCCTCAGTTTCCTCCCTTCTAAAATGGGAGTAGTAAGAGTGTCTACCTTGTGGGATCACTGGAAAAGCTAAAAATGAAGAACAGCATGTCCAGCACACAAATGCTACTTATGTGTG